AGCTCCTCCGAAAGTCATGATGATGATTTCAAGTAAAATTAACTTTGCCAATGAAACTTGTGTCTCGTTGGCAGCGAAAATATATTCTTCTCAAAAACGCACCTCTCCATTGGAGGGGGGGGGTGAGAGAGGGGGTTAGGTTTAAGAAGAATTCTGACCGAGGGTAACGTGAGTCTAAGGGGGTGTTCTGGTCTAGAGGCATGAATTTTAGGTCATTTTTGAAGTGCTGTAAAAAAGCAAGCAATATTTTTATTATCAATTTTTTTATATATTATTTATTCACCTAAGAAGCATACAAAAAATGAAAAATAAAAAAATTTTAAATTTTATTATATATCAGCTGATGGAGTGGGTCGTCCCAAAAATGTGGTGCATGACCATACATACAATTTTAGCTCTCCAAGAAATATGGAATCAAAAAATAAGAAAGATTATCAGTCTACAATGATGTCGCTATGTCCGGAACTACGGAAATGTTTAAGCTATATTTTTTTACAAAATGGCGACTGTCTAAAGGAAAAAATAATTTTTGTACCTCTTTATTTGAACATTCTTCAATTTTTTTAAAAATAGAAAAATTTAAATTTTTAGATGGCTATAGTTCCGGGCATAGCCAAGTCTCCAAAGAAGACTCTCTTAAAATTTCAAGTAAATCGGTTTGGCAGAATTCGAGAAATCGTGGGTATCAGATTCAAGAAAACATTTTTGAGAAAAACGCATTTAAAGTTTCAAGTAAAATGTTTTGCAGTCTAAGTCATAAAATTACATTTTTAACTTACATTTATCCAATCTGCCTTTCCTGCCGCATACATCAGACATTCTTCGACTTCGAAAAAATCATTTTCGGCGTCTCTGTTTTCTATTCGAGCAGTTCTAGCCTCCTTTGATGCACTGGATGCTCGTATCTCGGAGCGGTCAATCCGAGTGTTGTCTCGTCTGATAGCAAATGTATGCGCTTCTAAACCAATTTTCACTCTCATAATCGTCATCATCTTCATTTTCGGTATAAATCCTTCATTAAAATACACAGCAATAAATGTTGCAATTTCAATGAGCTGAGACCCGGAATGGATATGCTTTGGAGAGAAAATCCATCAGACCCGGAATGGATATGCTTTGGAGCGAAAGTCCATATCAGCGAGTTTAGAGACTCATTAATATTTTGAGTCTCTCAACCCAAACATCGAATCAATAACTCTTCTGATGATAAACTTTAAAGGATTTGTCAACGAATGGAGATGATGGAATGTAGCGTAGACTATTGAAACTGCATTGTAATGCAATTTTGAACCCGACTCCGCGTTGAGCCGTTCTTGTGATGCAATTTTGAACCCGAGTCCGCGTTGAGCAGTTCTTGAAAATCTAATCTCTTTGTTGTATGTACTACACGAAATAAGTGAAGAAATTGCTGAAAAGACCGTGAAAAACTCCAAAACATAGTAGCCGTAATTATTATCCATATTTACTTCTTCATCATTTAATTTCCTCAATTTTGCTGCTGATGCACTCGTAAAACTGGTGTTTTTCTGTTCCCTAAATCTATTGCAGTGAAATATATATATATATATATATATATGTATAACGGAACAAAAGGGCTTACTAAGAAATATAGATTTAGGTAGTCGGAGAACTCATTATGTCTTTTGTTCGATTATTTGCAGCCCAACCGATCTGGATGCCTGCTCAGCAAAATATTTATATCTCCAAAACTAACTTGAATTATGATAAATCCTCTCGTAGACATATTTTTGAATAGTTAAACTATGAAAATATGTAAAATAATATTCGAAAATATTTTTTTCTTTACCAGAATACTCCCTTAAGGTGAATGGGAATCCATTGGCCAATCGGCTTGAGGGACCTTATTTCAAGGTGAAACTTATTCAATTGGGGCGGAAACTTAAAATCACTTTCCATTCAAACAAACCTGTGTCTGGCATTCCTGGTCGTTATCAAAGTGTATACGTTTGAGTTTACTACAGACCGTGTCGATTACTAAAAACACTATCAATTAGGATGGCCATATCATTCTGTCAAACTTGTCATATTTGCCAAACTCCTAGAGGGGTCCAAGTCTTCTTAATGCAACACAGGCAAGTTCAGCTTTCCAATCTCCATAAGCTTCCTCAAATTCTATTCAGAAATTTCCGATTTGGCCTTTCTGTCGATTTATCAAAGCTCACGCTTTCAATTGGTATTTTCTCACTTTGAAAAGACAAAATTGAACGCCTTAAAATGTAGGGGTAAAGACGTCATGCAAAATTCATACTAAAAGCTAAATGAATTTCCTTAGCTTTCTTCTCCCATATAAAAAATTTGTACTCTTCAAATATTTGTTAATTTCAATGCTAATGACAAAATAATATGGCATAAAGCTTGGAATTCGGATGCGCCTGTAGCAGAGTTATTAAACCCGACTGAAGATTCAAGGTTCTTTTGAATGTGAAAATTTTGGCATACTCCGTGTATATGTCACTAGTTGAAACTATTCATTTCTTATTTCTCTTTGAAATTTTTCCCTATAAAGACACACCCTTAACCTAATTATGTAACCCGACTGGAGTTCTAAGGTTCTATTGAATGGGGAAAAGGTGGAATCAGTTTCAATTCTGTATGACGCGTGTAGTAGAGATTCCTGTTTCGGATAGACTCCCATTGTCCTAAGTACATTTCTGCGTTACTCAGTGAAAATAAATTTCGTCCTCTTTTTGACATGTTTCCAGTGATGATTAAATTTTGGCCTTTGCCAAATATTTACTCAAATTGGTCTCTCTCTCATTTTCAGGAAGTGGTTAACCTTTGGTTGTTAGTACCTAATGAATTAGAAGTAAAGTAAAAATTATTAATAATCACATGAATAAAAATGTGAATAATGCATGTGGGTTAGCTCTAGATTACATTTTTCTTTGCGTTAAAGCCAATTTGAAGAGATCGGTTGCAAGTGACCACAGCAAGTCTTGTCTAAGTAAAAATGCGGAAACTATTTAGTTTGATATTCTACCACGCTTCTATGTACATCCCCTCGGGACCTTTCGAATATTTGGCAGGAATGAAAAGCCTACCAACTCTTTGCTGATAGCTAATTTTACAGGAGTGTTTAGAGTGGGATTTGCTCTAGGACTCCTTATAGGCTTCATCGGCCTATCAAATGATAAAGATATTTTATAAAATCTGATGATGCGTACTAAGTGTTATCACGTGAGAAATAGGCTATTAATGCCAAAAAACTTTATAACTAATATCGTGGGCGTGACAGTATTCCACCCACTCCATCTCTTCCCCACCCCCTCCTCTATTGTCACTTTAATTTGAATATTATGCGGGGGTTGACTTTTCAAAAACATCAAAACACTACTTCTATTTAAAATAAGAAAAAACTTTCAACCATTCCCTTTTAATGAATCCGAAAATATTTGAAAGGCCTAAATGGTGGGGGGTGGGGGAAACTGTGTAAAAATTTTAGTTTATTCAGTTACAAATAGGAAAAAATAAATTAAATCCGCACTACGAAGTCGATAAAATCATTAAATAATCCAAGAGAAAAAAGGATGTATATATTTTAACAGATAGACATTGAATTGATATGAAGTGATATACAGCTTGTTGAATAATTGTAAATACAGTGCAGCTTACTTCCACATTAGATACCGTTCAGTACATGGGAAATCTACGTGACTGCTAAGCGAACTCCCCATGAACTCTCATCTTTGTAAGTCGTGTTATGACTGTAGGAAGAAGGGAATTCTTCTGAATTGAGGGTATCTTCATCGCACAGACACTCCTCCAAGTAGGTTGCAAATTGAGGGTAAAGAATTTGAGCGAAGTGGAGAAGGCACTCTTTCATATCTTCCTCATTGCCATACATCTCATCATCAATGCTACTCAGTGGATCTGTTTCTTCAGTAATTCTACCAACACTGGATGTCATAGTTACCTCATTGTAGGTGCTGGTCTCATCGTCACAGCACATTTGTATACGCTGGGCGAATTGGGGATAGAGTACTTGGGCAAGGAGAAGTAGGCATTGCTTCATATCCTCTTCACTTCCAAGAAAATCATCAGTTTCAAGTTGACCATTAAGTGGAGCCTCACCTCTATGAGCCTGCTCTGAAAAACTCCCCTCCTCAGTAAAAAATTGTTGAAGGCGATGCTGGAATTGGGGGAAGAGAACTTGAGCAAGAAGAAGGAGACACTGCTTCATGTCGCCTTCGCTACCATAATTATCATCCATGAAATCTGTTGAGATAATCGATGCCAAATTATCACTGTTAGTATCATCATCCTCCTGTGTGTCATCTAAGCCGACACCCTTCGTATTGTCTTGAATGAAGAATTGATGATAATCAGTAAATTGAGGAAAGAGAATTTGAGTGAAGAGTAGCAGACACTGTCTCATATCCTCCTCACTACCTTCCATTCCGTCCCCAAATTCTCCACTATTCCAAGAGTTCAAATCTACACTGTTACCAAAAATTTGGTCCTCGTATTGCCGCATTTCAATAGATTTGATATAATCCAAATACCTCTGTGGCTTTCGATTAGTGAACTCCTTTCTCTTCCGATCACTCTTTTTACTTTTCTTGTGCGACGTTTTCTTCCTCATTTATGCAGCCTTCTTCCTTAATGCGTCATTTTATATATGCTGATTTCATTTTATTTTTCATCTGACATTAATGTGACATCGTCATATTAGTCGCCTTGTCACGATTCTATTTTACCTCAGTGAAAGTACTACATTGCTCGCTATGATTAACTTAATGATGTGAAAGTCTTGCTCGTGTTCGCCTTGTCAGATGCAACAACAGCAAACTGGCAGGGTGTAAGCACCCGGTGACTTCAGACCGCTGTTTGGGAAATGTGAATGAAAGAAAAGTTCTCCATTGCACTAGATTATTCCTCTGTAAAATGTGAATATGTACTTCCTTAATGTAGAGATTCCAAGTAGCCAACTTCTAGCAATTATTTATATCAGATGGCAGGCTTTATGATAGCTATCATTAGCCCATTAGTTGATTTCGGGCTTCGCAGAGGGGAAGATTCATCAAAGTGAAAAAAAGTCGAGAGGGGGAGGGGGAACAGAAGAGTATTTCAAAGATGTGAAAGAGACAGACACAGAGGTAGAAAAAGGTGAAGTGAGTACTGTGGAAGTTGTAGAATAGAACATACAGTGGGGTGATGGTAGTTTGAAGTCAGAAGTCAACTTCCGGTTTATAGACTTTTTTGCCGTATGAGTATACGTTGCCCAGGATGCACCACGTGGAGGTACGTCTATCGCACACCCCTTCTAGCAATTATCTGTAATGACGTGTGTCTCCTAACCAATTTGTAATACTTTGCGTATTAATAAGTTAATGGATGTTGAAAAGACTCTCTAAACAGCGTAATTCACCGGAATATGCTGTGGACAGCAGGTGTTTGAGAAAGATAAGATGCCTGTTTCGGGTCCCTGTTGAAGGCGATTCAAGTGTGGGTACATAAAAAGACCACATTGATGACAACTGATACAGGGCAATGACGAAAAAATCAATAAACTGAGCTGGCTTTCTCTGTCACTTTGGGACAGTTTTAGTAACATGTGTGACTTGACTTTTGATTTAATGCAAGTTAAATTTTAAAGGATATTAAAAAAATGCGGTTGGCAGCCATTTTGGGTATGCATATTTATTCATTAATTGACGTTTCTAAATTGGCTTATACCTACACTTGACGCCTTGTGGTGGGAAAAATTTCGTCATTTTTAATTATCTATTTGAAATCATCTAATAAACTACCTCATATGCTAGAAGTGTAGCCATTCTTCTATGCCAAAATAACCTCTACTTAACTTAACCACCGACAAAGCATGGATCAAATTGAACAACTTATGTATTGAGTAAAGAAAAAGGTGACCCTATCTCAAAATGGCCTAACAGAGCATAATAGACGTTTGATAATTTGCTAAGTTAGGCGTTCATGCCAGAAAAATGACCTAAAAATTATTTTTTGACGAATTGAATTTCATGATCACTCAAAATTCTGCAATGATTGCACCCGGAAAAACGTCAAGTGGATTTTATCATTGAACGATCAATGTGAGCTTGGAAATCTACTATGTCCATAGTTTGATAAGTCCGGTTACTCATTCAAATATGTTTTTGAATAATTCTCCAACCTTTTACTTCAATTTTTTGCCTTATGTGAAGGTGGGTGTTTTAGTGATGAACTTTAATAATGTGATAATAATAGAAACCACCATACTTACGAGAAACTAAATTTGTTTTTTTTACCTTTTATAGATAAAAAAATTAAACTTGTGGCGTATATGGAGACAAGTTAATAGATCACGAGTTTTTTTGCAGTCGGCACTTAAATGCACCTAACAATACACCCAAAGATCTCCAAAAAACAATCATCAATTGTGCTGTTCGAAGATAGGTTATGAATGCTCTTGTGCATATCCCTTAAATGTCAAATTGGACGGGGAATGCAGATGACTTAATACCTTCCTTCAAGCTGAGGTGGATTGAGTACTACAGATAATATTTGCAGAATCCATCAATCAAAAATAAGCACTAGATCTCCATCTCACAGCTTCTGCAATCTTCAATAATAATAATAATTCATAATAGAGAGCCCATATACAGGAATCAGTTGCGGGTAATCGATACTCACATTTTGCCCCTCATTAAACGCTTATTCCGATTTGTTAATCAGAAAAAAATACTAAAACAGCCTCTCTTACCTTCAAAAGGTAAACACTAGAATTGGGGACTTGAATCCCATTCTAATTATACTTTAAAAATTGAACTCAAAAATATTTATTCGATGAAATAGTCCATGCTCAAAAACTCTGCTTGTTAATTTAAATCTGCATGACTTGTTAATTGAAGCTAAAAATCGCTAATGTTAACAAAGCATCTCTAAGGACTCATTTGATACCTACTTCATGGCTCATAAACTATCATCTTGAACGGAAATCAAGCCCTAGAACGCATGACATTTCCCTTACCAATCCGGCTTTTCCTCTTCGTAAATGATCCCCGAGATGAGCACTCGATAAGTCATTTTTTTGTCAAATGTGCAGTGGAGCCTCAAATGGCATTATTTAACAATACATGTTGAATAATTGGAAAGATTAGCCATTAAATTCAATGTCGATGTTTGCCTGATTCCTGATGTAAAGTAATCATCATTGTACTCAGTGAGAGAAGTGCCAAGAACCGTGAAGACGAAGAGCCGATTCCTGAATATAAATAGAGAAAGATAAAGGTACTTGAAACGTTTAATCATTTGGAGATGACGAAGTGGAGGAGATCCAGGGACATCTGTTGGATCGTTGGTAGTCCAAGATAATAGGCATCATGTAAAGGTGATGTATACACGGATATCGCAAGTGATTAGTTGAGCAGCTTCAATACATAGGTGATGTTGAATGAATGGTTATTTCACATCAAAGGAGAGTGAGGAGGCGTTGAGAGATGTTTCTCAAAGTGCTTCATTCCCGTTCCTGTAGGTGTATCAAATATCGGGTAATTAAACACTTATATGAGTGCAACATTCCACTAAAATCGCCGTTTTATCATTCTGCCGGTTTTACAGCATTTGATTATATGAACTTCAATTCAGCCTGGCATTATGGATACCTTTTTCTTACAAAGCTGATGAAGAAGATCTAATCAGTTTTTTGGTCACTCTGTGGAAATGTTTTTGGTGATAAACCGACCATATTTATAGCATCCTATTAGATTCATTGGGGCTTTTTAGAATACCATAAAATGAGAATTAGCATATGTGCATACATATGTTTATATTTAGTTATTTAATTATAGTATATTTATTTAAAATTATTACTGACAATCAGTAACTTAGATGCGAGATAAAAGAGGAAGAAAATAATTATTATTAAATATGTTAACTATGTTTCCATAAATCAGTGTGTTTTGCAAAAAAGAATGTTCTATAATTTCGTGCTTACAATAAATTTCCTTTGGTAATTGCATTCTTTCCACTGCGAATGATTACATTGTTTGCCTGATTCGGCCTTCCTTACTCTGGTATTTCACTTCAATCAAGCTTCAGTCGACCAGAATGTTTCTAGAGAATGAGTCTAAACAAAATCGGTATTTCGTACAAAATCTCATTTATGAGCTCTGCACTCGAGTTACTTCTGAAAGGGGGGAGGGTGCGCGATAGACTTACCTCCACGTGGTACACCCTGGGCAACGTATACTCATACGGCAAAAAAGTCTTCTAACCATCAGTTCACTTCTGACTTCAAACTACCATTACTCCACTGTATGTCAAATTCGACCACTTCAATAGTACTCATCTTACCTTTTTTCTGCATTTGTGTTCATCTGTCTCTTTAATCTGTGAATCACTCTTCTTCCCCCCCCCCCCCACCCCTCCAGAATTTTTCTCACTATGATGTTCCTTCCCTCTGTGAAGTCCGAAGTCAGCTAAAGGGCTAATGATAACTATCAAAACGCCTAACATTTGAAATAAATAAATAACTTCTAAGAGGACATTTTATGCACTACGTCCCAGCAAAAATCACTTAGTTTTCAAATGCACTCTAAAGCTTCTGAAAACTACCACCTTGCTGTCGACACCCTGCCAAGAACAATTATTTAATAAACAAAGTCGCCCTCCACAATTCTCATTCCAGTTAACGCACTAATTAAAGAAACATTTATTTATATCAAATGGCAGGCGGTTTGATGGTTATCATTTGCCCTTTAGTTGACTTCAGGTTTCACAGAGGGGAAGGGACATCAAAGTGAAAAAAGTTGAGGAGGGGGGGGGGAATAGAGGAGTATTTCAAAGACGAAGGTAGAAAAGGTAGAAAAAAGGTGAGATGAGTACTGTGAAAGTAGTCAAATATGACATACAGTGGGGTGATGGTAGTTTGAAGTCATAGGTCAACTGCCGGTTAATATACTTTTCGCCGTATGAGTATACGTTGCCCAGGATGCACCACGTGGAGGTAAGTCTATCGCACACCACAATTAAAGAAACATAAAAGTACTTTTACCAAATTTAGACCTGTTGATGCATGCATTTTTTAGAATTAAAGTAGTGAAAGGTAGAAATTAGCTATATTTAGTTACATTCGTATTTTAGATTTTTTAAATGTGAACCAAGAGCGTTATAAATATACCCCACTTAAAGAATATGGTCATCAAATCCTGTGAAAATTAATCGGCACAAATTCAGTTGCCTACAGAGACAGTAAAACTAAACAAAATGTTCGTTTTAAGTTGCGACCAATGCAGTTTTACCTTCAAGTTAATTGACATGATAAACTGTTCTAGGTCCTAATTGAAATTAAAAATAAGTAGTTATAAAGGTCTCTGCAGCTCACATTCTTCCTTAGTGGTGTAAAAAAGTACTAGATATAATACAATTTCCTTATTTTTAAATGAGAAATTAAAATTAAATTGACTAGCATGTACCAAAGTGACTTAATGCCATAAATCAAGCTCCTAAGAGTCGTATCTTTTTACTTTTACGAGTTCAAATTATTCAGTGAATTTAAGTCAATGCTCAGTCTCCTTAAGTGCTGTACTTTGTCGGATTTGCTGTCAATCATACATCATCGAATAGAAAATGTGAAAATTTTCA